GGGAGAAACTTGGCTCCTCGTGCAAAATGACCTTAAACTCCAGAGAACCCACACATGTTTGAGCTCACACACAGGCTGTTAAGAATAAAGCAGTTGTCAATCTCAGTGTCATAGATTCAAACTGCAAAGACCCCTCTGCCTGCTGTTTCCACATGTTTGGAAGCCAATCGGATGCATGGATTGTTTCCACTCTATCTTTCCAGAAACTTCTAGAAAAGAAGTGAGAAATTCCTAGAGTGGAATTCTTTTTTCCTGATAAGATGAGATCTGTTCACTCAGTAAAGTAATCTGTGCCTCACCCTAGCCCTGTTGCTTCTGGTGACGGAAGAGTGGCCATTTTATACTGCTCTCTAGTGTCCGGTGTCACACTAGAAGCTGAGTTACTGTATCTCACTGCTAAGCGGTGAGCTGACCCGAAAGACCTGCTTATGTATTTGGAGACTAACTCTAGAGACTTTGACCATTCTCCACTTATCTTGAGTAAATTATATCAAAGATAAGACAGTAAGCCCAAAGGTAGAATTAGGTGTTAAAGGTCATACTGCACCACAACTTTCCTAACAGAGGTAGTGAGGAACCTGCTGTGGAACTTACTTAATACACAACTGCCCTGGCTGGGGGCCTTGTTCAGGGACGTGCTTGCCAATATGCACAAGGCCCTTGGTTCCATCCCCTGAGTTTCACCCCCAGACTGCCTAAACTGAAAAAGATAAATGTAGGCACACACTTAACCAGTGGAGAAAGATGAAGTCACAGGGGGAAACTGTAAATATCTTTAAACAGATGCTAATGAAAGCCTATAAGAAGCAATAAAAACAAGTGAGATTTACTTTGGGGGCCAGAAAGATGGCTCAGTGGGTAAAGGGGATTACTACCAAGCCTGATGATCTGAGCTGGAGTCCTAGGACCCGTGTGACATAAAGAGAGAACTGACTCCCAGCTGCTATCCTCTGACCTCCAAATGTACCACAGCAAGAACAAGCACACACACACACACACACACACACACACACACACACACACTTCAACCAAGTCAGTCCTCTGACAATCAACTTGAAAGACACAAAACTGGCTGAATGTCCACATGCAAATTAATGACGTTAGACTCTTCTGCCAAATACAAAAATTAACTAAAAATCGTTGCGGGATATTTGTTTACACTGCATGAAGATGTGTGTATGCTTTGCCTCACCTGCCTAAGGCCCTCAATTGGTTTAATAAAGAGCCGAATAGCCAACAGTTAGGTAGGAGAGGATAGGCAGGACTTCTGGGCAGAGAGAGGAACTCAGAGGGCGTCTGACATACAGATAAAACCACATGACAAAAATGTAGATTAATAGAAACAGGTTTATTACAGTATAAGGGCTATAACCCTAAGCTGAAGGTCAAACTTTCACAATTAATAATAAGTCTCTGTGTCATCATTTAGGAGCTGGCAGTCCCCAAGAGAAAGTCTGATGAGAAAGTCCAACTATAAAAAAATGTATCAAAGACTTTAAGAGCTCAAATCATAAGACTCTTAGAAGAAGCATAGGACTTCTCAAGTATGTTAACAAAAAGCATCAATAAAACAAAAGGTTGAACTTCATTGAAGTTAATTTTTTGTATATCCAAAGGATAATAAATGCTGGCGTTGGTGGTGCATACCTTTAATCCCAGCACTTGGGAGGCAGAGGCAGGTGGATCTCTGTGAGTTTGAGGCCAGCCTGGAGCCTGGTCTATAAGAGCTAGTTCCAGGACAGCCTCCAAAGCCACAGAGAAACCCTGTCTCGAAAAACCAAAAACAAACAAACAAACAAAGGATAGCAAACGTCCTATACAGAATGGGAGAAAGTGTGTGTGTGACATCTGATAAAGAATTAATACTCAGGGCTGACAGTGATGGTGCTTGTCTTTAATTCCAACACTCAGGAGCTAGAGGCAGGCAGATATCTGTGAGTTTCAGGATAAGAGGGCTGTTACACAGAAAAACCCCATCTTGAAAAACAAACAAACAAACAAAAGAACTAATACTCAGAATATTGCAAGTGCCCCAAATCAACACCAATAAAAATAACCCAATTCAAAGCTGGGGAAAGAACTTAAATAGCTATCTACAGAATAATGTTGGCCAGAAAGTACATGAAAAGATATTCAACATCAACAACCATCAGAAAAATGCAAATTAAAGACACAGTGAAGACAGGGTATAGCTAGATCAGTACTAGAGCAGCGACCTAGTAAGTATGCATATATCATGGTATCAGCAGAAAATACTGTCAGCAAGCAAACAGTCAGATAAATTTTGCTAACCATTGGCTAGAATGGTTCGAACTCAAACAAGATATTTGCCCCAATCCTGGCACAACTCTGTCCAAATATAACTGGACTCTGTTAGCTTTGAAATTTTACATTTATACTGAGATTTAGGTCTTTCAAGGGGATGCTTCCATCACCTTAAGATCCATCACAGTACATATGTGCAACCAAGGGCTGTGGGATAGATAAAAGTGGTACCCAATATAAGATGGGCACGTCCATTTAACCATCATACAAAACAATAAAGGCTGCATGCAGGAAACCTTACCTTGGCCAGGCTTAGCATCCAGCCTTGGGAAATGTTGGCAGTGTTGCCAACGGTCAATAACAGGCAGCACAGTGAGCTCAAGGTATTATAAGAGCAACAACAACTTAATGAGCAGCAGCAAAGCAGTGGACATTTTGCTGATTGTTTTATTTAATCCTTATATTTGATGTAGGTACATTATAATCTCAACTTCAGAGTGCAGCCTATGGAGGCACGGGATGTCACGCACATAAAGAAGTATATAGCTGATCATGGTAGCACACACCTTTAGTCCCAACTCTTGGGAAACAGGGCGGTGGATCTCTGTGAGTTCAAGGTCAGCCTTATCTACACACCTAATTTCAGGCCAGCCAGGGCTACACACCCTGACTCAAAAAGAAAAAAGAAAAAAGGGCATGTAATCCATATATAGCTAGTATACTCAGAAGTGTAAGCAAAACAAAAAGAATGTGAACAGAACAGGTGTTGAGTCAAAGTCGGGTGGCACCGTACAACTAAACAGCGTTACTAGTGTTCCTATTTCTCTTTCCATTGGAACTTTACAAAACTTTCTTAATCCCCGAATCCTCTCTGTCCCTGCTTACTGACCCAAAAGAGTGTGATGTGTAGCGAATGCTTCTCTGAGGCCTTACAAACCAGTTGCACAATTGTGGTTTTACGAGTTGGGCAACTTAACACTAATAACAAGGTTACTTAGATAATTTGCGTATACAGTTACCACCAGCTTCAGCCCAAACCCGTGTAAAACCAGAAAGGGTTTCAGGAGGCAAGTGATCGATTTAAAATTATATTTGGAGCGCGAGTAAAAGTAATCGTTTTCCTGAATGGTGTCATCATCTTTTCTTGCTTTCCTACCCAAGAGACCCTTCTGTGTTCTCTTCCGGTACTGCCCCTGGTTGTAACTTCATTGTTTAGATGGGGAAGATGCCCCAGTGTTGCGCAACAGTTTCCTCTGAGATTAAAACATCTTGTCCCGCAGGAAGATCCTTAAGCAGGAAGGTAAACAAGGCAAAATAACTTCAGGAAGTCCCTGAAACTGACCAGATTCACTAGGCCCCTCCCTGCCACAGAGAGTGCAATAAAAGCTCAAAGTCCCCTTAAGACCCAGCAGAATCAAGCTGCAAAGAAGACTCCTATACCTGGCCAGGTACCTAGAAGAAATAGAAAACATACGAGCTTCCTGGAAGTGGTTTAGACCAACTGAGACCCTGGGAAGAACATTCCAGTCTTCTGAGTTGCCTCCAAGCTGTGTGTGCTCCAGGTTCCCAGCTTTTGTGAGCTTTCACCCATGCTGGGGTGGCTTGGTGATCTTTTAGCCACTTCTGCTCCTGTAAGTGACCCCTCACCCATATTGCTGAATAACCCCAAAACAACTTATACTGGTGGTATCTGTACTTTGGTCTGTCATGGGGTCCCCCATCTGGAGTGAGAAAATATGTTTCATCTCCCCAGGGGAAGTTTTGTCACACAATGTGTCCCTTTACCTGGCAATAATGCCCTGCATTTAATTGGGAAAGACATGCATCCCTATGAAGCTGGATGAGTTGTACTGGAGGTTTTAAATGGTACGCAGGAAGAACAATATGACTTTTTATATGAGTTTTTAAGATTGCTGCCAAAGGCTATAGAGAAGGTAGCTCCATAGCAGAATTTACTTCCCATGGTTCTAGAGGCCAGAAGTCAAGATCAAAGTTATTTCCAGGGCCAGCTTCTGAGGCTGATGCTGCCTTCTTGCTAGGTTCTCCCATGCCTTTCTTCAGGGGTCCCTTCACAGTCTCCAGTAATACTGGATTAGGGGCTACCCACCTGACCCTAGGTTCACACCGATAACCTCATTTTAACTTAATTGCATCTGATGCAACCCCTCCTAGACGCGAGGGTCATAGTCTGAAGAATTGGGGACAGGTTCTTGAATATATGAATTGGGGCATAGTTATAACTCGGCACAAACACTCTTTACCTACTGTACACAGCTATTAATGAAAATAAGAGAATATTTAGGAAATGTCACCAGTGCTGTTATATCTTACACAAGAGGGAGGCAATTAGGTCTGTCTTCAACTGCCCTCCAGAATTAGTTGCATGTTTTCCCTGTGATGGTCCTAGGGGAAGGCAGAATTTCAAAGGTAACAGAGTCCAGTTTTATTTGTATAAAGTTGTGAAAGGATTGGAACAAGTATCTTAATCCCAAAATCTAAGCAGTCCAGGTGTTTGGTAACAGGGAAATGGCAGAAGATAAGGCAAACAAATATGTCCAATAGATCCTCTGCCATAAAAAGGACTAAACAGTTTAAGTTTTTTTTTTTTGTGAATTGAACTTTTCTATAAAGAAAGATAGAATCAGTGTGTGTCTAGAAGAGGGAAAAGGTCCAAATTGAATTGGTCTAACACAGGAACCTGAGATGTGGCTAAAAGACGGAGCACCTCCCTAGAAAAAGCAAAGCCTAGGATTTGATCCCCAACACCACAAAATAAAGAGCTTGAAAATTGGTTCAATCTTGGCCAAGCATGGTAGCCTGTGCTTTTAATACCCAAGTGTTGGAGGCAGAGGCAGGTAAATCTCTGGATTCGAGGTCAACCTGATGTACATAGTGAGTCCTAGGCTATCAAAATAGAAATAAAAATCGGTCCAACCTTAACAATTCTAGGACCAACCTAACCAAGAGGAATCACAGCAGCAGGCCTGTAAATAACAGGCAGGTAAAATACTCACAGGCCATCACCAGAGCAGACTCAAGGACCGTGTTGGTGGAATTCCGCAAATCACATTTTTTATTATAAGCTCCGTGTCTCAGGTCTGGCCTAATGCCAATGATAAAGCCATCAGCCTTTCCAATCTATGAGTGTTTCGATATAATCAAGACCCACGCAAAAACCCACAGAAAGCTCCCACTTTCCGGAGGAGCCTGCCGCTGCTAATGCAATGCACACACTAGACAAACAAACAAAGCAACAACAAACAAGCAAACAACACGAATGGTTCAAAACAGCTCCGCTCTGCTCTGTTGCCTCAGGAAGGACGGCTCCACCCCTTTCCCTACGTAGGAGCAGCTGATTGGAGGACGCGGAGAAGAGCACGCAGTGCAGCCAATCCGGAGAGCGCACCCTGCCCTGCCCCTCCCCTGACCTTCGGGCCATGCTGCCTGCGACAGGCATCGGCGCGTCTGCCGCTGAGCTAGAGCATGTCGTCGCCCGAGGATCCGCATCCCGCGGCTGGGGAGCAGCCGGGAGCTGGGCTGCACTTGCGGGCCGCGGGAGGGGCGCTGCTGCTTTGCGGGCTGGCGGTGCTGCTGGGCTGGGTCTGGCTGCGGCGGCAGCGCGCATGCGGCATTCCTCCCGGGCCCGCACCCCGGCCACTCGTGGGTAACATCGGGCACTTGCTGGTGCCGCGCTTCCTGCGGCGGCAGTTCTGGCTGGGCGCGGGCGGCCAGAAGGACACCGACGCCGTGGCCACGCACGTGCGCCTGGCCAAGCTGGCCGGCGTCTACGGCAACGTCTTCAGCTTATTCATCGGCCACCGTCTGGTGGTGGTCCTCAGCGACTTCCGCAGCGTGCGCGAGGCGCTGGTGCAGCAGGCTGAAGTGTTCAGTGACCGTCCGCGGATGCCGCTCATCTCCATCATGACCAAGGAGAAGGGTGAGCACGCCGCGGGCGCCGGACCTGCGCCGTGTGTGTGCGTGTGCGTGCATGTGCGCGTGTGAGTAGGCGTAGTATCTAGTGTGAGATCAAAGTGGGAGACCCACGGGAAAGCTAGGGGTGGGGAGGCATACCAAAGTGTGAAATCAGGGGCCACCCTGTGTCCCACACGAGGCCTCCTCACTCATAGGTCTGTGACCCCAGCATTTCTAACTCTGGTCGTGTTAGAAAAGGGAAGAGAAAATTGTTTTCATCCAGAGCAGGAACTCTAGCCAGCCCGAGCATGGCAAACATGGCTCAGGCAAGCCTTGTCCTTCCTCATTCCCTCTGCCTCCCTAAGATCCGATAGATTTCATCCCTAAAGGTCCATTCCCCTGTTTGCCACGTCTGACTACCAAGGTCCAACTATAAGAGTATTGAAGTCCAACAATCAAAAGTCCCCTTTGGCCACCTTGATTAACATGCACAGTCAACACTAACCAACTCATCCTATCCTATCATTTCAACTTTATAAACTGTCATTTGCTGATGGGCCACATCTGTCCCTCTCTATCCGGAGACACTCCTTTTCCTCACTCCCCACAAATATCCCTTCCCCCTCTCCTGCCCCTTTTCTCTCTCCCCTGTTCCCTTCCCCTTCTCCTTTTACTCCGCCTCCCATCTTTGTCTCTTATTCCCTGCCCTGTGTCCCTGTAGGGCAAATAAATCTTTGTGGACTTGGCCTTGGGGTGTCTTGAACAGGCTTCGAGACCCTTCTACCCGGTGACTTTCAATTGCAAAAGTATAAGAAAGTCTAGAAGACAGCCGGGCAGTGGTGGCACACATCTTTAATCCCAGCACTCAGGAGGCAGAGGCAGGCGGATCTCAGTGAGTTCAAGGCCAGCCTGGTTTACAAAGCAAGTTTCAGGACAGCCAACACTGTTACACAGAAAAACCTTGTCTCGAAAAACCAAAAAATAAAAAATAAAATAAATCCAGAAGCTAGGCTTGTTGAACTGAACGTTTTTTGTTCATAGCCTCTCTAATATTTTCACAAAAAACATGGCTGCCGTCTATCCATGTCCAAGAAGTTGCCCAAAATTAAGTTTAAAAGAATATTAGGGGAGGGGCAGAGGATACTTCAAGACTATGCCCAATGGTTTCTACTCTGTTCCCATACTCCATGAGTATCTCCCTCTGCAGAAACTGCCGTATTGATCTTGACTCTTCAGCAGTCTCCCAACCCCGTATCCTATCTTTAGACACTGAAGTACAAGACTGAATCTGTCACTTTGCTTCATGGTGGGTGACATATATGCTTCCGTTCAGGAGGGTGGCCCCTGACTTCACACTTTGACATCCCCTCCCTCACCCTGATTCCTGACTTTCCTGTGTAAACACCTCTTTCAGGGCCTCAGAGAAGCTCTGGAATTGGAGGCACCTGTGATCTGAGGCAGCAGAAAGAGCATTGGGCTAAGACAGATGGAATTTGAATGCCATATAAAGTGTGGTTAGCTCTTGTTCCTAAGACCACTCCAACCTCTGCAGGAGATAGGAGATGAATGCTCTGGGTTACACTGCACCTTATTGGCCTCTTAGTTAGAGATGGGTTCAAGACAGAGCAGATATGACATTCCCTGTGTAAGACATTCAGGATGGAGGACACATGACAGCCCCTGTGCAAGATGCTTCTAGATTAAGACAGGAGTCTGGAAGTTTACTCTGGATGAAATTTAGGCCAAGAACATCCGGCTAATCTGGCCACTCGTGGAAGAAGACAAGGAAGTGTATATTGGCTTGGACCTCCAGTGTTCTCTATAAACCCCCCACCCAATTATAGCTGTAGTCACAGCAACATGAACCAGTGTTTGGAATACTGTAGTTGGACTTTCTTTGGACTGCCAGTTCTCAAATGACATGGAGACTTTTAACTATGAAAGCTCAGCCTTAGCTTAGTCTTGTTCCCAACTAGCTCTTATAACTTAAATGAACCCTTTTATATTAATCAACCTCGAGGCTCATTACCTCTCCATCCTATACACCCAACTCCCTCTGCTGCCCTCTGGTGAATCCCTTGCATCCCCTTTCTCTCCACAAGTCCCGCCCATTCTCTCCTGTCTAGCTATTGGCCCTCCAGCTCTTTATTAAACTAGTCAGAAGGTGCAGTTCACATAATGCAATCAAATGCCCCGCAACAGGCTACCAGCCTAGTGGTGAGCTACAGATGCAGTAGGAGATAGTCAATAGACTAAGGCAGAGAGTGGAGTATCTCAAGGTCTCTCTCTGGCTACCTTTCCCAGAATTCTCCTTGTCTCCTACTCTCTCCTATCTTCCTATCAAGTGACGGCTGCTGCTTAAGTTGTACTTCTGCTCTGTGCTTAATCTAGTTAGAACAGTAATTTGACAATGTGCAATCATGTGAAGATTTCCACATTTTATGGCTCATAGTGATGTCTTTAAATTTTGGAGGAAGTCCATGTCCAACCCAGCATTTGTCTACATAGATGTTTATACTGAAATGCTTCTCTTTTCCCATTGCTGGGGATTGAACCCAGGGCTTTGTGCATGGTAGTTATGTACTGTATGACTGAGCCGAACCCCCACTCTTGAAGGACACTTTACAGGGGTACTTATAGTATAAAAGAACTCAACAGGAGAACTAGGTCAGCATTCCATGGGCAATATACTGCACATCACATGCTAAGGACTCAGAACATGGTGGTGGTGGTTTGAATGTGGACTCCTCCACAGGCTCGTGTGTTTCAACACTTGGTCCTAACTTGTGATACTGTTTGGGGGTCTTTGCTGTTCCTTAGTCTGAGACATTGGGGTCCTTAACATGGTCAGCTCAGCAACACACATTTGTCCAGGACTTCATCTGCTCCCCACTGGAGGAAAACTGGCCGAGATGAGAGGGGCATTAAAAGGATAAAGTGGGTAACAGGAAGTAATTTGATAATAGCTGGTCCATTTGATAATAGCTGGTCCATTTGATAATAGCTGGTCCATTGAGGAGCAGTTCTGTTGGGCTCGATGGTAGGAGATGTACACATTAGGACCAAGTAGGATGCCGCTCTTGGTGAGTTCAGGTGCTTCAGATTTTTGCCATCAGCCTACATTTTGATTCTTTAACATTTACTGACCCCTAGTGGTTCTCTCCCAGATGGAGTGTTCATTTATTCAGCCAGTGCTTTAGCGAGCAGAGGCAGGCGGATCTCTGTAAGTTTGAGGCCAGCCTGGTCTACAGAATGTGTTCCAGGACAGCCTCCAAAACAATACAGAGAAACCCTGTCTGGAAAAACCAAAAAAAAAAAAAAAAAAAAAAAGAGCTAGTGGCACAAGCGTAAGATACGGCTGAGCGTTTAATTAGCAATAAGTCTCCATGCCATGATTTGGGAGCTGTTTGGTGGTAAGAAAGCCTGCTACAAGTACGGGTGCTTTTTGTTTGAAAGATGTTCAAAGCAACTCATTGTTTTCCATTTTTCCGGAAGTTACAATAAATAATAACTTTATAGCAAGTGATCCTAATTTAGCGTTTATTGGGAACAGATGTCTTTACACTGAAACATGAACCTGACTGGTTGTCTTTATCTGTGTATGAACCTTGGCCAAGAGACTGGAGTACAGGTCTACGGCCATACCACCCTGAACGCGCCCGATCTCGTCTGATCTCGGAAGCTAAGCAGGGTCGGGCCTGGTTAGTACTTGGATGGGAGACTGGAGTACAGAATATACCTCATGGCATGTCCCGTTTGCTGTCCCCAGGCCTTGTTCTCACCTTCCCCTCTGCCCTTCACAGGAATTGTGTTTGCACACTATGGTGCAATCTGGAAGCAGCAGAGGAAGTTCTCCCATTCCACACTTCGTCATTTTGGTTTGGGAAAGCTTAGCCTGGAACCCAAGATTATCGAGGAGTTCAAGTATGTAAAAGAGGAAATGCAGAAACACGGGGACGCCCCCTTCAGCCCCTCCCCCATCATCAGCAACGCCATCTCCAACATCATCTGCTCCCTGTGCTTCGGCCAGCGCTTCGATTACACCAACGGGGAGTTTAAGAAGGTGCTGGGCTTCATGTCTCGGGGGCTGGAGATCTGCTTGCACAGCCAGCTCTTTCTCATTAACATATGCTCCTGGCTTTACTACCTCCCCTTCGGGCCGTGCAAGGAACTAAGGCAGATCGAACGGGACATAACCCGCTTCCTTAAAAACATCATCAAAGAGCACCGGGAGTCTCTGGACGCCAGCAACCCTCAGGACTTCATAGACATGTACCTTCTGCACGTGGAGGAGGAGAGGGCGACCAGCAGTGGCACCAGCTTCAGTGAGGACTACCTGTTCTACATCATTGGGGACCTCTTCATTGCTGGCACCGACACCACAACCAACTCTTTGCTTTGGTGCCTGCTGTACATGTCACTGAACCCTGACGTGCAAAGTAATTGCTAGATTTGTTCTTTCCTCGGGCTAAAGGCAGGTAATTAAACCAGGCAGCAGCTGATGGAACTGTGAACTTCTTCAAGGGTCCATTTTCTTTCTTACCGTAGTCGTCATTGTGGCTACCTATTTCAACTATTACTAAGCAACAGATTATCCCCAAACCTAGTTGCCTAAACAGTAACTTCATTATTATATAAAGGTTTTGAGTCTTGAGAATCCAGGTGGGTGAGGAGTACACATACACATGAACCTATGTTAGCTAGCTTTTCAATGCTGCAACGAAGTGGATTGATAATCAGCTGACATGAGAGAAGTATTTTGACTCGGGGTTTCTGGGATTCAGTCTATGACCAGTTGGCTCTGTTGCCATGGCTCTGTGGCTAAGATATTGCATCGTGGAGGGGCGTTTCCTCTGGGCAAATGCAGAAAACAAGGAAGTCCCAGGGTTGCACAGTCCTCAAGGCATACCCCTTGAACCTAAATCCTCCCACGAGGTTCTCCCTGGTAATGTCACCACTGTGGAGAACAGGTGTGCAACCACAGGCTTTTGAATGTTGGGTGCCCCTGAGTCCAGCATGCTGTTTCTTTCACAGAGTCTGTTCTGCAGAGCTCCAGCCCAATGGCTTATGTCTCTACCAATCTTGAATGAGGCCACAGTTGGCCACTGATGCCTCACTGGGTAAAGTTTGCGTAAGAGTGCTGACTGAGCTCTCCTGGGCTTATCTGTGCCTTCTTTCCTTTTTGCATAGAAAAGGTTCATGAGGAAATCGAAAGGGTCATTGGTTGTGACCGGGTTCCTTCCCTCACGGACAAGGCCCAGATGCCATACACAGAAGCCACCATCATGGAGGTGCAGCGGTTGTCCATGGTGGTGCCCCTTGCCATTCCTCATATGACCTCGGAGAAAACAGGCAAGTCGGGAGCCTGCCTTCTCTTCTCTGCATGCTCCTGAGGGCGTGCAGTGTGGGGAGGGTGTGGTCACAGCAGAAATAGCTCTGTGTCCCAGGCTGAAAGTCCAGGGATTGTTTGACCCTTAACTGTCATCACAGGCACTGTAGTCATTACCAGGAGCCCTCTGGCCTCCGGTGCACACACACACACACACACACACACACACACACACACTAGCAAAATATGATGTCATCCTCCAAGTCAGCTATGTGGGCAGAAGAAATTCTGGAGTTGACAGTGGCCCCTTCAGTCTCCCTCAAATTAGCCCACTTTGGTTTTTAAAATTCTGCAACCAAAGTGAACTTATTTAAAAATTGGAATGCTCCAGCCTGACTCTAGGGTCACAAACTTTAACTTATCACCTGGTGGAGTCCAGCATGCCTTTAACCCTCCTCTTTATAACCAACGGTGCCACACACCTGTAACCCCAGGGAGGCTGAACCAGGAGAATTGTGACCTTGGGTAACTTTGTTTCGGAGAGTCAGAGAGAGGTTGATGGGAAGGGCAAAATTTAAAGCTTCTTGAGACAGCCCAGAATGCAAATTAGACCCATTGTAGTGTCCAGCACCTGTGGGGTATTGGCCAGGCTGCAGTCAGTACTAGTGTGAGCTGAGTTCCCTGCAGGTCTCTTTTCTTAGTGTGCCCTCCATATAATAATGTCATCTGAGAGGAGGCGACCCCAGTTAATATTGGGCTGCAGGCAAGCCTCTAGGGCAGTGGTTCTCAACCTTCCTAATGTTGTGACCCTTTATTACAGTTCCTCATGCTGTGACCTCAGCCATAAAATCATTTTCATTGCTATGTCATGACTATAATTTTGCTGCTGTTATAAATTGTAATGTAAATATGTGATATTTCTGATGGTCTGAGGCAACCTCTGTTAAAGGATTGTCCAACCTCCAAAGGGGTCTGGACCCACAGGTTGAAAACTGCTGTTATAGGTCATTTTCTTAATTAGTGATTGATGGGGGAAGGCCCAGCCTGTTGTGAGTGGCTCCAGCCCTGGGCTGGTGGCCATGGGTTCTATAAGAAAGCAGGCTGAACAAGCCATGAGGAGCAAGTTAGCAAGCAGCACCCTCCATGGCCTCTGCATCAGCTCCTGCCTCCAGGACCCTGCCCTGTGTGAGTTCCTGTCCTGACTCCCTTCGGTGATGGGCACTGAAATGGTAGTGTAGCTGGGTGGTGGTGGGCCTGCCTTTAATCCCAGTACTCAGAGTCAGGCAGTTTTCTGTGTGTTTGAGGCCATCCTGGTCTATAAAGCCAGTTCAAGGACAGGCTCCAAAGCTATGGAGAAACCGTGTCTCAAAAACAAAACCAAAAAAGAAATGAAAGTGTAAGACAGATAAACTCTTCCCTCCCTAAGTTGCTTTGGTCGTGCTATTTCATTACAGTAATAGTAACCCTAACTAAGACACGTTGCTGTGTAATTTTTAAGAGTATAAACCTTGGGGAAAGTTTACCTAGAATGTCCTATTTCTGTTTTAGTGTTTCCTTGATTTTAAGTTTTGTGGCCTGACTTGATCCAACACCTAACCCGACCACTCCCATCTCAGGCTGGGTCTGGGGTAAAGCAGAGAGAAAGTGCTGGTTGATAAGATCTTACCCCTCCCCTCAAGAACCTCAGAATTTGGTCTCCACCAATTACAATGTTAAGTGGGTAAATAATTTCACTCTTGAAACAGTGATGTCTGAAGAAACTAACAGTGAAAGTGTGTCACTGACTTCTCTTTGTTGTCTACAGTCCTCCAAGGATACACTATTCCTAAAGGGACAGTGGTCATTCCCAACTTGTGGTCAGTACACAGAGACCCAGCCATTTGGGAGAAGCCAGATGACTTCTGTCCTGATCGGTTTCTGGATGACCAGGGACAGCTTTTGAAGAGAGAAACTTTTATTCCTTTTGGGATAGGTCAGTTAAACCTTGGTTTTAAATTTGTTTTTGACTTCATCATTATTGTGTGTACGTGCTCAGGTGAGCATGTGTGTATACAGGCGTATGTTTGCGGTGTGTATATGTAATTGTAGGTGTAGCGATTAGCAGGGTTCTCGCCTACTGAGTTGCCTTGCTGACTCAACATTTTTTTCTTCTTCAGAAGAAAAATAAAAGTAGGCCGGGAGGTGGTGGCGCATGCCTTTAATCCCAACACTCAGGAGGCAGAGGCAGGCGGATCTCTGTGAGTTTGAGACAGGGCTGAACCGACAGCCTCCAAAACAATACAGAGAAACCCTGTCTCGTAGAACCAAAAAAAAAGTAGAACTGTGGACAGCAGTGAGTTATTAGCGGTGTGTTCCGTTTGCCTTGCATGTTTGAGCCCCTCGGTTCCATCGACAGGAGAGACAGAAGAAAGGAGGAGGGAGTTGAACATAATCTTTATGACTAGAAATCTTCCTTTCCTGGTTGCTTAGGCTCTTTGGGGCCTGAGAAACAGGGGAGGTTAATGAACTACTGGAGTTAAGCACAAGCTTTTAAAAATTGCATTTTATTTACTTTGTGTGTATGTGTTTGTGGTAGGGAGGGAGCCAGATGCCCCAGGACACACCAGAGGACAAACTGGAAGCGATTGGCTCTCTTGCACCATGTGGGTCCCAGGGATTCAGTTCGGGTTGTTAGGTCGTGGGTGTCAGGGTACCAGTATCAGCAAGTGCCTCTACCAAGTCATAGGCCTGAGAACAGATCCTTGTCTACGAGGCTGGTATGTGAGGGATTCTCTACCCTCAGGTCTTTCTTTGCGTTCCTGGATTAAGGCACACAAAGTCCTTTCTGTGGAAACAGAAGGTTCCAGAAACTTTGATCTGACTCTTTCTCTGAGTCCTCCAGGTCACTGGGAAGATGAGATAAATAGGAAGGCAGCAGAGTGACTGTTGCTGGGGATCCGTGACTAGGAGCACAGTGGTGAACTGACTGTGTGGACAGATAACCTGAGGGAGACTGTGCCTTGTGTGGTGATTTTGCTTTAAAACTCTCCACAGACTAAAGCTGGGCGCTTGCTACAAAAGAACGGGGTTGTATCATAACCGTCCCTTCTTCTCTGACCTCCCTTAGGGAAGCGGGTGTGTATGGGAGAGCAGCTGGCAAAGATGGAGTTATTCCTCATGTTTGTGAGCCTGATGCAGAGTTTCACCTTCGCTTTACCGGAGGGCTCCGAGAAGCCCATCATGACTGGAAGATTCGGCCTCACGCTAGCCCCGCACCCGTTTCATGTAACTGTCTCAAAGAGATGAAGATGCCACTGAGAAGACAGAAGGGGACAACAGCCAAATGTAGCCTAGGCAGTCTTCCATGCTGATGAGCATGGGCCCAGCAACTCAGCACAGCCAAGAGAGGTTCCAGACAAGAGACCTGGGGAAAAAGGGTGCCACACCATGGATGCCTCCTGCCCACCGGGAAGCATGGATGCTGGATTTAGCCGTGTAGATTCATCCGGAACAGACCTTGTCTCTCATCCTCCATTGTTCCATGGTAAATGGGGGTAATGAGATTTCTCATGGCCTCTCTGCTATTAGCAAATGCTGGGCAATTCAGGAGCAGACCTGTCCTCAGACATTTCAGTGTTCAACATAGACACTTGGTCAGAAAGGGTTGCAGACTTAGTTTATATTGGAGTAGAATTTTTTTTCTTTTTCTTTATTTTTTTTTTAGCATAGGTTCTATATCAGTTTCTTTGGGCTTATCTTATGAATATCTTTTGTATTTAGGTCTAGGTTCTTTACTTTCTATAGAGCTAGGATGACATGTCCCCTTTTCCTGTATGTTGAGGAAAAAGAAGCCTTCTCCTTAGGTCATTATCTACCTGTTTGTCTGCTTTCTGTAACCACATGGTCATCGAGCCTGGTGCAAGCCCAGGTCCGCTCCACCTAGCTGTGTGCAGGTGCCTTGACTTGGGCCCTGGATGCTGTCCCGAGAAACCTAATAATGGAATTGGTCAAAAAGGGATTTCTCATTCAGAGGGTTCCGACCTCTCTCTTCCTGCTGTGTCACCAGCTGCAGTGTGACTGACTTGAGTATTCTCCAAGACAAGAAGCCATTTGTTAATAAGAGGGCCTCTAGTGGCCCTTCCAGGGACCACACGGAAACGTGGGAAGGTTTGACCGTAATGGAGGAAAACTGTGGGGCTTGTGCTCCTAGGGCTGAGGATGCAGTCAGCAGTGGGAGCTCCGTGTGCCCGAGGCTGGCCCTTCCCTCGGTCTCCACAGTCCTGTGGAAGGAACCGTGGTGATACTGAGAGAGCGGCCCTCTATGGACGTTTTCTTTATGTGTGTATGTAATCCTCACACTAAGGGGGCTGAGCTTTGCGATGCTAAGGCCCACAATTACAAAATGCCATCACTAGGTCTGCGAGACACTTGGTCTTGTGACCGGAAAGCACTTTCTGAGCCTTCTCAGTATTGACCCCACAGGGTCCCGTACCTGTGTCCTCAGTTACCTGTGTCCCTTGGGGCCAGGCTCCACACTGCTGCCTCCTCCTCACCACGCCTTATTCTTGGTAGATGCCCAGGCCACTCGGGAGTAAGCTAGGGAAGGCTCTTCAGGGGAGAGTCCATCTATGTGTTTATTGCTGTCACTTTAGGGTAGTTCTAAAACAGAATAATTTGCCAGACCTGTTTAAGACAGTGTTTAAAAATGTACTAGACTTTTTAATCATTTAAAGTAACCACTTTAAGCAAATTTAGAATGATGCCTTAACTGCTAATACATAATACAGGATGAAAGCTTCCAGCATCTTCCTACAGACTTCTTTCCCAGGTGCCCAGGCAGACTCTCAAAAGCTTACCAAGCTAGAAATAACAGCTACTGAATAAAGATCTAACATGAGTAAAAAGGAAATGTGAACTATTTTATAATTGCATATTGATTAATTTTTGATGCTATGTTCTTTATATTACCCACCATACTGTTTTCCTTTTCTTAAATTATAAGCACTTTCAGGAAGAGATGCCGGACATACAGGCTAATCTTTAGGTATCCTGGAGATGGTTTTAGACCAGCAGACTGACTGTAGAGAGACTGAGTGAGGCTGAATATGCTATGGATAAAACGGCGTGGGGATGGGTGTGCTGCTCCGTGAGCAGGGTAGTTTGTCCTGATCAGAGAGTCATGTGATTTTAAATCTTACTGCTTGACTCACACGTGGATTTCTGGACCTCTCAACCAAAGACTTCACACCGTGCTTGAAAAAGACTCCGTCTTCTATGAGCCAACATCAGAATCCTGAGTTTGTCCAGCAGTTTAATACTGTGCCTCAAGATGTAGCACTCTGAAAACCCTTTTACACATCTTGCCACAGATGGACTGTGCTTTTCCCAAACCTACTGATATTTTACGATTGTGCACTTCTTGCTTCATCTGAAATGTGAAGATGACTTTATTTTTTTTCCGAGTCTAACTAAGTCTAAACCTTATCTTTACTGATATTCTTGGCATTCTTATTAAACTTTTAATTTTAATGGAGGAGTCCTGTCTGGTTTGTGTTTGTTTTTAGTTGCTTGCCAATTTTTGTTGTTTCTATCAATTTTTAGTCAAAAAGGAAGAGGAAACAGACCTTCAGAAAGAGGGACCCTGTAAAAGGAAGCCTTTTCCTTGAGAGAAGCCTTCCCGCCAGCCTGGTTCTAGAGCCGCATCAGTCCCAAATAAACACACAGGAGACTATATTAATTATGAAGCTGTTGGCCTTGTTTGTTTCTTACTGGCTAGCTCTGACTTAAGTAATTACTAATTGTTAATCTAAGTATTTCTCTTATCGGAGAATAGTTCCGGGCTTCCTACCCCATGGCGTTACATCTTGACTCTCTGTGTTTCTCCTTCCCAGAGTTCTCCTGGATTCCTAGTCCCACCTGTCTTGGTTCCCTATTGGCCCAACAGTGTTTTATTGACATATACATAGGACTTCCCCCATCAGGACCCACAGTGTAGTACAGGCCTGACCGCCAGACAGGAGGGTAACTCTTTTTAAAATATCCCCTCAGGGGACCTGGTGCAGAGAGATGTCCAGACAAGCCAGGCTTTCTATAATGTGTTTGATGTGTGTAAATGTTTTGCCTGATGTATAGCTGCGCACTACACACATGCTTAGTGTCCACCGGGGCCAGAGGATGTCATCCCCTGGGAGTGGAGTTACAGATGTTTGTGAGCTGCCATGTGGGTTTGGGGGGACTGAACCTGCATCCCTTGTAAGAGCAACAAGTACTTTCAACTGCCGAGTGGCAAATTACCGAGTGCCTATCTCTAGAGGTTAGCCAGGGATATCACCAAGATGATCCATCGTCTGTTGATTGAGATGAATGCTGCCTGGTGCATTCTCTGACATATCCCTATTTATCTGAAGACTAGAGCCGGAAAAATGGAGGACATTTGCCTTCTTTCTTCTTGCTGAGATGCCAGGAACTAAGGAAGGTGAACACTGTGTAGGGCCCTCTGGTGGTTTGCATGAAAATGGCCCCCAAAGTGGTGGCACTATTGGGAGGGGTGGCCTTGTTGTGAAGTAGGTGGGGCACTGTTCTATTGCTCTGAAGAGAGACCATGAACAAGTCAACACTTACTTAAAAAAACAAAAACAAAAAAGGGGGGCTTGTTTACAGTTTCCGAGGGTTAGTCTGTTTTCACCATGGTGGCACAAGTGGCATTGGAAAAGTAGCTAAGAGCTACAACCTGGTGCTCAAGGAGCCGGGCATGACTCTCAGAGCACTGAGACTAGTGTCCTGACACAGTCCACTCAGCCCCAGAACACGCGTAAGACAGAGGCTTATGTTGCAAGAGGTAGTCTCTCCTCTAAGGAAACATTTGCACTTATACCTGAGTAAAATGCCACAAAGCGAGCCAAACTCACGTTGCCAATTATCAAATGAAAATTATCATAATCAGAGCCCCAGAAGCCACCCTGCTGCCATGACCTTCCAAACCAGCACCTCTTCCCAGGCTCAACTGAGCAGATTTCCGACTTAGCAGCAAGCCCCTTTACCGGCTGAGCCATCTCTCTGGCTTGCTAGTGGCCAGATCTTGGGTAGAAACCTGTCTGCTAAAAGGAGCACAGAACACAGAGAGAGTTCCTGTCTGAGGGTGAGTTCAAATTCACACAGCTTAAATCTATCTCCTTTTCCCAAGGTTCCCAGCATCAGTAAATCACTGCAGATGATTTCTTCAGCAATAGTCATCAAAGCTCTTCTTAGTTTGAGCCCTTTAAAGCTTCTTATGAGGTGTAGCATTATTCGCTAACCAATCCCTGCAGAAATAGCAATGAAAATGATAAGCCACTAAATAACATAGCTCGAAAGCATTTACATCAGATAATGAGACAAAACAACATATGGCCTTTTAAGAATGGTGTCGTGTGTGTGTGTGTGTGTGTGTGTGTGTGTGTGTGTGTGTGTGTGTACAGGATGTCAGGTTCCTCCTTCATGAAACCCTATCCCAGTGGTTCTCAACATGTGGGTCTCAACACCCTTCAGGCTCAAATGAACCTTTCTCAGGGGTCACCTAAGGCCATTGAAAAACAGTTATTTACATCACAATACATAACCGTAGCAAAATTAGTTATGAAGTAGCAATAAAAATATTTTAAGGTTGGGGTCACCACAGCACAGGGAACTGTATTAAAGGGCTGCAGCATTAGGAAGTCTGCTATGCTTTTGGGTCAGCAAGCTCTTGAGATCCTCTCCTTCCCCCAGCCCCCCAGTGCTGGAGTCATTTGTGGTGCTCAGCTTTCATGTGATGCTGGGCATTCCAGCTGAGGTGGTCTTGCCTGCTCAGCAAACATTCTCACAGGAGTGGCATCAGTCTTGATAGAACAGGAGTTTTAAGTGTGCTGGAACAACTGGTTGTTTTAGAAATTAAAATAACTTTTCCCACTTTTCTTCATACCAAAATCAATTTCAACATGTCTATAAAGTAAAAAGTGTGCGCCCGAGAGCGTGTGTGTGTGTGTGTGTGTGTGTGTGTGTGTGTGTGTGTGTGTGTGTAGCACGTGGTAAGAGAACAGGGAAGTACCTTTCAAAGCATGAATAGGTAATGGACTCAGGAGTAATAACTGCAAGATCCACAAACAATGATGCCAGGGCTCTTCACTGATGACAATATCAGGCTCTAGTTACTAAGAGGCAACAATGATGCCAGGGCTCTTCACTGATGACAATATCAGGCTCTAGTTACTAGGTGGCAACAATCTGTTGGAACAATGGCTTTCCCATTCCAGTACCCAGTGGGACACTCTCAGCATGTTTCCCTGTAAGAACAACAAGGCCAGAGAAGCCCATTGGCCTTCACCACTGGGGACCACTGAGGCGAGCCAAGGAAGAGCAGCTGGGAATAGATTCACAGTGGAGCACCCAGAAGGAACCATAGCAGCCTGAGGGCAGTGATGGAGACAGAGCCAAAGTCAGCTGGCCCTTACCCTAGGGAAATGCAGCCATGGCAGTGTTAAGCAGAAAAGGGACCTGGGCCAACTTCCAGTTCATGTGACTGATTTCTGATAACCAAGAACCTGTTTGGTTCCCAATACTTTAATAACCATCTATAAAGTCAAAGCCTTAATTGTTCTTAAGGGATCATACTGAACATTTTCACAAAATGAATGAAGCTCAGTGGGCAGACTGCTTGCCTGGCGTGCACCAAGTCCTGGCTGGGCTCAATGCCTAGCACACAGATCAGCTGAGTATGGTGTGCACCCCTGTAATCACAGTTGGTGATAGGATTAGGAACTCAAGAGCTTTCTTGCCTATAGACAGAGTTCAATACCAGCCTGGGCTACAAGGTCTGAGATAATAGGCTAGGATTCTTTAATTTCAGAGTTTTAGAACCAAAGGACACTTAAAGCCGTCCTATTTTTGTTTCCTGGTTCTTTAAGAAGTGGAGAAATCACGAGTGAAGCGAGCAGCCCAAAGGCCCTGGGATCCAGAATGGAAGCCTGCACCTCTGACCCTGACCCTTGCTCTAGTTGCACCAAATCATCAAGCCTCCGAAGCCAGCGACCTTGGCAGAAGCAACAAAAGCATGCTTCTTACTCCTTGTGAGTCTTTAAGTATCCATTGACTTCAATCTACTCATCTATTCAAAAGATTATTTTTGAGTAAGAAAGGAGGTGCAGAGCTGGAAAGGTGCCTCGATGGTTTGACACTTTTTCAGAGGACGAGGGCTCAGTTCCCAGCACCCACTCGATGGCACGACCACCCATGACTCTATTTCCAGGGAATGCACTGCCCTCGTCTGATCTCTGAGGCCACCTGGCACACATGCATGTGCATACAAACAGATGATCACTCATACACACAGAATAAGCAAAACCAAAAGAAAAGGAAACACGGCTCAGGGATACTGCAGAAGGGAGCGTGGCGTGGATGCGAGTGCCTGAAGGCAGAAAGAAGGGCTGTGAACGGGCACAGCCAATGCAATCTTCAGCAAACGAGGCTACTCGACTACTGCCGTCAGCAAGCAGGCATGGGTAGGGAAAGGGCTCATTGGCCCAGCATCCTTACTGCTGAACTGTCGGCCACTGGTAGATTCTGGGAGAGGGAGCCTTTGTTTTCAGAAGTGTGCCCACTGCTGATCTCAACAGGCTCCAATAGGCTAGCTCAAAACTCCTGGTCACACAGACGATCCTCAGGAAACTCGGTGCTCTGTGAGACAAAACAAATAGGAAGGGGAGAAAGATTTGTAAGGTGGGGGGGTGGTGGGGGGGGAGGGAGTAAGCAGTATACATGGCTGTCAAAGAAAATTCTGTCAAGCGAGACCACCTGAATTTGATCCCTGGGACTGAACATCGTGGAAGGAGAGGAGTAACTCCCGCATGCCCACTGACCACAGTGACACACATGTGCTGTATCCATACCCACATAAAGCATGTGAACACGACTCTCCTACTACGGTTAAATAAACAGCCCCCCCCCCCCAAGGAAGTCTAAGGAAAGTTGTTTCCCTCCCTTGAGAGAAGTGTGTTGAAGAAGCCCTTGGCTGCCCTCTTGTGACCAAAAATTCTCCCATTAAAAAATCTAAAGGCAAAAACTACATTGGAAATGAAAGAATTTCTGGGATTAGTTCAGAGCTAACTACGCTGCCTTCACGGTGCGTTCTCTCTGCCTTGTTGACGAGAGGTGGAGTAGCAAGATAACCAGCAGCACGGTACGCAAAGGCGAACCCAGACAGACAAGCGGGAACGAACACCTCGCAGGCCCGCGGTGACTTGCAGCCCCAGGCAGGTAAAGCCCGGTGGGAATGCGCGGAGTAGGACGGGGAAGCTGGAGGAGAGAGAGCTGCTTCAGACCCGAGTCCTGCTCTCCTTAGGCCTTGAGACCCGAGTCCTGCTCTCCTTAGGCCTTGAGTCTCTCTCCTGTCTGTAGCAGACTAGGAAAGACACCTTTGGTGCTCCATCTCTCAGATTGCCGCGGAACGTCTGGGTACCCTGAGACTCTGTCTCCCCCTAGGGAGTTGAGACGGTACTGCACTGGCACATTCCGGGACGCAGGGGGAGGGAGGGGGTAATCTGGTGAAGACGGTGTTTGTGGTGCTGCACTACCCCTACCTGCAGCTGTTTTCCTGTGTAACTTCAGCATGCATGCCCTTTCTCTGGGACTTGATCCCCTACATACCACAGACTAGATCAAATCCTCAACCCTAAAATGATTATAAAGCCACGTCGGGCATTTGATACAGCTATAGATGCTGATGGTCCACTAAGACCGATGAAACCTGAATTTCACTGGGATCAGGTCTGAGTGGCGATCTGTGTGCTTAGTGACAGTACAGTCAAAAATCAAAATATCCACACACACACAAAGTCATATTAGGTAACCAAACTCGAGATACAGCTGTGTGAGCAGGACAGTGTGTAAACAGCTCAGAGGGGGAAAAAAAACTAATTTGTAGACCCAGCACCTAAGGTCTCTTGGTGTGCGACAAAGGGACACGGTAATGTAGCAAAGATGGCAGTAAGCCCTGTAAAGAGGTCTCCATGACCTTGGAATAGTGCGGTAGGCAGAGCCAAGGATGGATGGCTCTGATGATCCTTGGAGCAGTTCCCTCCCAGGCTGGTCAGTATGAACCAGTGTAAGTACTGGGCCGCCATGGAAACGCTAATGTGAAACTTCTGAAGCTAGGTCACAAAAACACCGAGACTTCTGCTGTTCTCTGAAACCTCTTCCAACAAGGTGAGCTAGCTGTGAGAGAAAAACGAAAAGCAACCCCAAATTCACTAAACACAAAAGAGGATGTATAAAGGACATTATTGTTTAATTAAGTAAACTGGAGAGCACATGATAGGTTAGAAAGAAAAGGCTCAAGTTTAGATTTGTGGAAGTTAACAACATAACCAAGTCACCTTATCTGTAAGAATATTATGCTGCTGTTATAAGTAAAGCATCATCACGTGTGTTCCTCACCCTCCAATAGTTCAGAAAACAGAAGAAAGATGGCAGCTACCTGATCACGGTGACGCATAGCTGTGATCCCAGCGCTTGGGAGGCTGAGGCAGGAGGATTCCAACTTCCAGACTGACCTGATCCACAGTGAGACCCTGACTCAAAACAAAACAACACAGTAAATGCTAAATAATAGTGCGTCTGAATTAGAGGTGTATGTCTGTGTGTGCGTGACAATGAATGCTAAATAATAGTGTGTCTGAATTAGAGGTGTATGTCTGTGTGTGTGTGCACGTGCGTGCGTGTATGCGTGTGTGTGTGTGTGTGTGTGCGTGTGTGTGACAGTGAATACTAAATAATAGTGCATCTGAATTAGAGGTGTATGTCTGTGTGTGCGTGCATGTGTGTGTGTGTGTGTGTGTGTGTGTGTGTGTGTGTGTGTGTGTGTGCATTGCCACATCTGGCTCTGGTCTTTTCTTTAATTTCTTTTCATATGTTGGAAGCTTAGCTGGGAGGGCTCTTGCCCTGAGGTCATCACTCCCTTTATTCCATTTCTTTCTTTCTTTTTCTTTTTTCTTTTCTTTTCTTTTTTTTTTTTTTTTTGGTTTTTTTTTTTGGTTTTTTGAGGCAGGGTTTCTCTGTGGCTTTGGAGGCTGCTCTGGAACTAGCTCTTGTAGACAAGGCTGGTCTCGAACTCACAGAGATCCACCTCTGCCTCCCAAGTGCTAGGACTAAAGGCGTGTGCCACCAACGCCCGGCCTTTATTCCATTTCTTAATCAGTTTATGTCCTTGAACACAGGACTTAGCTCCATCTCACTTCTTGGTGCCCTTTAGTCCACAATCTGTACATTTGTATTTTTCCTTGCTTAGCTTGCTCCTTTTCGTTATAAATCTGTATCAGAGTGACCACTAACAACCACACAACAGAGTCAAAACTAGGCTGTTTGGAGATCTCCTCTGCCAGTGGAATTAATTCAAAACTCTTCCCTTTAGCCTTAGGCAGACCTTACAATGTCAAAAGGCAGCCACATTCTTCTCTAGAATATCACAAGACCAGTTTCTAGGCCACACACTGGCATTCTCCTCTTCAGAAGCCTCTTGAGCCAGGCCCCCACAGTTCAAATCACCTTCAGCATCGCTGTCTTCCTTGTTCTACCTAAAGTCCATTAAGCAGCACTTAAAAAGTTCCACTGCTTTCCTAACCCAAAGTTCAAATTCCTCCCAATACACACATAGTCAAGTCTATCACAGCAATACCCCAATACCTGTACTTCTGTCTTAGGGTTTCTATAGCTGTGAAGAGACACCATGACCACAGCAACTCTTACAAAGGAAACCATCTGAGGGGCAGCTTACAGATTCAGAGGGTCAGTCCATTATCATCATGGTGGGACATGGCAGCGTGCAGGCAGACATGGTGCTGGAGAAGTAGCTGAGAGTTCTACATCGTGCAGGCAACAGGAAGCGAACTGTCTCACTGGGCGTGGCTTGAGCATATATAAGATCTCAAAGCCCGCCTCCATAGTGACACACTTCCTCCAACAAAGTTAGACCTACTCCAACGGGGCCACACCTCCTAGTAGTGACACTCCCTTCTGGGGCCTTTTCTTTCAAACTACCAGCCACAGCATGTGCTGATATATTATTTAGGATTTAGTAAAGCTTGCCTGAGGATTCGGAAAGCAAAGCCAGCCACAGCTACAGAGATCGGGCAGTGGTGATACACACCTTTAATCCCAGGACTCAGGAGACAGGCAGATGGATGTCTCTGAGTTCAAAGCCAACCTGGCCTACACAAGAGTGAAGAGTAACAGAGTTCATGCCTTTAATCCCAGCACTAGGGAGATGGAGACAGGAGGATATGGCTGGGCAAAGAAAGGAATACAAGGAGCAGGAGACAGGAATTGAGAGCTTTTGCCGCTGAGGATTTGTGGAGACAGGATTGCTCTTTCAGCTGGGTAGAGGTGAGATCTACTGCCTTGGCTGCTTTGCTCCTCTGATCTTCAGCTTGAAGCTTGAATCCCAATATCTGTCTATGGGTTTTTATTTTTCGTGCTATAACAACATGAAAAATGCTTTTCACATACATGCTGTTCTCACATGTATCATGTTCTCCACATGTATAATGCACTCCACATATATAGATGATCTCCACGTGTATAACACTCTACACATGAATAATAACTATCTCCAAATGCATGATGCTTTCAACACTCTTCCCATATATGATGCTCTCCGTATGTATAATGTTCACTCTTGTCTGCCCATTTCCCACTGAGAAGGGAGGGTGCTTCCTAAGGAGGATGGGTTAGGAGAAGCATGGGGCCCTGACTCGGAAGAGGTTCAGCTCTGAGCCTGGTTTGTATTAGGTGAGTTTCTAAGTGGCTTTGGTGCTCAAAACCTTGGTTTCTTCACCTTTAGACGATAGCACGAAATCCTTGAGACCTGTCATTGCTTGTCACTGATTGCTCTCAGCACAGTGGTCCAGAACATGAGCCCTGAAAACAGACTATCCGGGGTTTGAATCCTGCTACTTCCTGTTCAGTTGTGGTTACACCTCTTTATCTGCGTTTCAGCTTCCTTGTGTATAAAAGAATGCTGCCACGTGGGATTATCACGAGGATTTAATAAATTAACTCACCTGAAGTATTTAGGACAATGGCAAACACCTTAAAGGGCTGAGTATGTGTTGGCTGCTTCGATGTGCATTTAACATAGGGGAGTACGTACATAGAGACTGCTCAAGGGCCAGCAAGACAGCTGAGAGGTAAACCTGCTTGTTTCCAAACCTGACACCCTGAGTGTGATCCTGGTAGCCTACACGGCAGGAGAGAACTAACTTCTGCAAGTTGTCACATGATCTCCACATGGGACCATGGTGTGGACGCACACACAAAATAAAGGCTGAAAGATTAAAAGTCAATAAAAATCGCTCAGAAAGATGACTATTGTTATTTCTGCTGTTCAGAAGGGCGAGTAAATGATTCACTTTAGAAGCATAAAACTTTGTCCATGGGAATCCTAAAAAATAAAAAAAAATTGAGAGTTTCATTCGTAAAGACACAGTCCACAAGACCTTTCCCCTTTGGGTGATAAGGAATTAGCATTGCACCATCCTCACTAGCCAACTCGGTAATTTTTATCGCAAGCAATTACACTAGAGACAGCTGTCTGTGAGCAGTCCATCCTCAGCGACTCAGGTGTCCCCTTGCTATAAAACAGGAAAACCCTGATGTACAAATCCCACAGCCACAAG